AGTAATACTGAGAATAATCTGCATTTTCCTATAAAACAGTCTTACTATTGCACCCACACACACACACACACACACACATCTTCACAGTCATCATAATAGTAGTGTGAGAATAGTCCCCATCCAAACATCAGTCTGTTGTATTCATATGCAAATCTCCAGCATATAAATAGCAGTTGATACAACTGGAGGCTAAACTAATCCTGACCTTGAAGACTAAACTACAAGAAAAATAGTAGTGAATAGTATGTTGCAAACTATAATTAGAAGTATTCAATACTATTCAATAGTCTTCAAGGTCAGAATTAGTTTAACCAACTGCAATTTATATGGTGGAGATTTGCATATAAATACAACACAGTCTTTTATGAATATGTATATACATATATATTTTTTCTTCATATTTTTTTCTTGCAGTGTGAATTGATAGTTTGTCACTTTAATATTTACCAACGTATTCTTCTGATAAAGTGTTAGTTGAAAAGAATCCTTGATGAAGAATGCTTTCCTGCATTTTCAAATATATATATATATATATATATATATATATATATATATATATATGTGTATATATATATATATATATATATATGTGTGTGTGTGTGTGTATATATATATATATATATATATATAATATTTTTGTTTAAAATATGATTCCTTCACACATAAGAGTTCTCATGATTCAAAAAACGAGAGCCGAAACCATCCTAATAATTATTAAAATTAAGTTGAATTGAGGTGTTTAGTCCCGTTTCATCTTCAAGCAAAATTTTAGGAATAATATTATTATAATATTATAATAATATTTAAAATATTATTATAATAAAGCTCTACTTCTGTATGGAGCACTGTCTTCTTAAAAATAAAAACAAAAATATGAAGGAACTCTGGATTATGCACCCAACGTGTTCTTTTCTATTTTTCTGCATACCTGCACACTTATATATATATATATATATATATATATATATATATATATATATATATATATTGGATATACAAAAACATGCCTAACAAGAAGACTCAAGTTACATCTCTCTGACCATAGCTCAGTTAGGTCTCAATTAAATACACGTAAAGACCTAACAAGCTCTGTCCACAACATACTCATTGATAACAGTAATATAATATTCTCATCTACATGTAAAAAAAAAGCTAAAAATAATTGAATCATTATGAATAAAAAAGAAAAAGCAAAGACACAATAACATCAACAATGAACACGGCCAACATGTGCTGACCATGTTTAGAAAATAAAACATTCCTATCACTCTTAATGCATACATAAAAAAATCCATACATTCAATTAAAAGTCAAAATAAAATCATCCTTCCTAATTGTAGAATTTAGTAATAGCAACAGACAGTACTCGACTGCAATAGAAGTTGAGTCTGATTGACAAAACTGTTAATATTTAACAGAACAATCCCCCACCCACCACCAAGATGTATATGTGGCACAAGGCCGATTTAAAGATGAGTCATTGACAAAGCTGTTATGTCTGGGCAAGTTGGTAGGTGGTTTATATAACATTCTGAGTGATTCCATTTTGTTATCCAGGCAAGTCTATTCTGCAAATCCTGATTGGCTGATGATTCCGGTGTGGATATTGTGCTCAATAAATATCCAACATTACTGCGACTATTAGAACATGTATTCAGTTAAAACCCAGTTTATTTTTGTCAGCCAACTAGACACTAGTTGGGAACCTCTTTGCAAGGGTGAGTCTCACATTTCTGATTGGTCAATAATGGCTAAAAGTATAGCCAAAAGTGCTCCAGCATACAAAACATTCAGAGAATTTCTACATAATTTATGTCCAAAAAAGAAGAAAATTATAAGAACATAAGAAAAATTAAATAAAAAGCTTAATTGCAGTACCTTGTCAGTCATCTTTAATGAACCTTGTATAAAAGAGGGATTTCTGTCCAAATAAAGAATATTATATATATATATATATATATATATATATATATATATATATATATATGAGAACTGTCCATTTATTTATTAAGCAGTATATTTATTTATTTTTGTTTATCAACCTGAATGTTCAAGAAATCTTACTTGCACTTTCCAGCAGGATTTGAACCTGCATCCCCCAAGGGAGAGAGAGATACTGTTAAGCCTGGCATGCCTTAACCAACTTGGCCATGAAGAGTAAATTGGTTAGACAGGTTCAAATTTTGTGCCTTTAAATGACATTTCTCTCATAGAATCTCTCAAAGTTTTTCATATCTGCACACTCAATATTTGCACCTGCTCAAAAAGGAGTATCAACTAAAAATAACATTTAAAATGATAACAATCTGTTGTATTAACAAAATATCCATTCTAAAATTCTCTTTGTTTCTAACTGGATTCAAAACTGTGCAAATATGTAAAACTTCATCCGACCAACTTCACTCTGTGGCCAAGTTTGTTAAGGCGTGGTGGGCTTAACAGTAGCTCTCTCTGCCCTGAGGGATGCAGGTGCAAATAAGATTTCTTGAACATTCAGATCAGTAAACAAAAATAAATAAATGTACTGTTTAATAAATAAATGGAAAGATTATATAAATATATATATATGAAGAAAAATATATACGGAAAAAACAAACAAAAATCCTTATATACAATTATTCTGTTTTAATGTTAATATATCAACGTCAGACGTTTTGGTCTAATAAACCATCTTCAGGACATATTCAATTGAAATATAATTAACATTATCAATTCAACATGACAAAAGACAATGTACATAAGAACAAAACTTATCCAAACGCAGATATATTAAATATTAAAACAGAATAATTGTATATAAGGATTTTTGTTTTTTTTTCCGTAATATATTTTTCTTCATACTGTCGGATCTATATCCATATATTTGCTTACATATATATATATATATATATATATATATATATAAAGGAAGAAGTTATAGTAGTTCCAACAAGAGAAAAGTGTGTATATTAAAAAAGAAGAGAGAAGCCGCAAACGTTTTTGCTTGTAATAATGGATTTAAAAAAAAAAAAACACCCAACAATATCTTCATTTCAAGAGCCATCACCCAAAAAGCTGCCTAAAATCCATTCCCTATTCTCTAGCATGTAGGGTTTGTACTATAGTGACTGATAAACACCTCTGAAAAACCTGCCTAAAAAAACTACATAAAACTCTAAAAAACGTGGCTACCCCATAACGCTAATAAACAAAGGTTTCGAACTCGCAAAACAAATTCCTCTAGACCAACTTAGAAATAAAAAGAAACATAACATCGAACAAACTGTAGCATATGTCTCAACACATGTAGCAAAATTATGGAAAATAAAACATAATATTTTTTTTAAGATCCACATTACAACCAAAAATGTTTAAAGTTCTCTCTTCTTTTTTTTAATATCTATATCTATCTATCTATCTATCTATCTATCTATATATATATATATATATATATATATATATATATACATATATATATATATATATATATATATATATATATATATATATATATATATATGTATATTTCAGTCAGTCATGTTCCATGCATGATACACGTTTAGGCAATCATGTATCTTTTGATGCATGACTGATGAGGCAGGTTTTTCCCCACAGTAGGTTGCCATTTCGTTCTGCGGTAGACCAGTTGCCATCCAAGGCTATAGAACCCCGTCTGTCCTGCTATTTACCTATGGCTGGGGAGAGAAGAAGAAGATTCATACCTTTCCCAAGGGTATTAGTATTTAAGTGAATGTAATGGATTTGACTGGAATTTGAACTCAGCTCTCTGATTCCTCAATCCGAGCTGCTATCCATTACTTCACCATGCCTCCCTATGAATATTATATATATATATATATATATATATATATATATATATGGTTGGATAGATGTGAGTTTGTGACCCTGGGTTTCACGCTTTAGCGATCGTCAGACAAACTGATTACTGTTTTAAAAAAATTGGGTTTATGTAGATTGCGTGTATTGGTGTTATTGTGGAAGTGGTGGGGAGATTTCGTCGTTTTGTCATTCATCGTACTAACGCAAACATCGATGTATGCAGAACACATATACATATACATACTTGGTCGTCCGTCGGGACTCATACATATATATAAACATATGTAGACAGTTTCGGCTATGACACATGTATGTATACGGGTGGTGTAATGTCTATACATACGCATTTGTATGTTGAAATGTTGAAATTTAAACATTGGAAGTGTGGCGGAAATGTCTCGTTATTGTCTCGTGAATGTATCCATGTCATATTATGAATTTTTTTTTTTTTTTTTTTCCGTTGAAAAATATTTGAAAAATATTTTCTCGCATGTATGTATATATGTGTGGTGGGGTTTGTGTAAAATTATGATAGGTAAAAATTATTATTAAATTATTTATATTTATTTTAAATTTTTGATAAAAATGGGGTTTATTTGTTATATTTAAAGCTGGTTATTTGTTTGTTTTTGGTGACTGTGTATATGTAACAGGTAAAAAATTGTAATCCTTATTGTTTAATTTATATGGTGATGTTTAATTTAATAACGGGTTTATATGATATGATGTGATAGTAATGTTTCAAAGGATTGGAGACAATGCTATTTAGGTTTTAGCTAATAGTTATTGTAAACTGGAAGAAATTGCAGATTGGTAGAAATGATTAGTAACGGTGGTGGGAGAATGATAAAACCATGAATGTAGTTATAGTGGTGGTAGCTTGAACTAAAAAGTGGTTGTTGGTGTTTTATTTTTGTTTTATTTTGTTATATGTATTAATTTATTTTGGTATAAATCCTGATAATAGGTATTCTATGTAAAATTATGGTAGTTGAAGATTGCTATAATTTTAATTACAAAATTATTATTATTATATTAAAGCTGCCTGGTAATAGGTGTTTGTTCTCATGGTTACATATGGAAATTATATCTGATCATATTGTTTTAAAGTATTAAATATGCTGGGGGGGTAATAAAGATTGTAGTGGATTATATGTTAATAGTGGGTGTGATGTGTAAGT